GAGTGGGCCTGCAGCAGCCTTGCTAAGGGGTTGGTCTGGAGCAGAGATCTTCACTGGCCCCTGGGTTCAAGGGCTTCCCATTACCCCGCTTACAGTCCTTCAGCGAAGCCTGGCCTCGTGGGTCGCTCCCTGCAGGGCTGGGGGTGCTGGCAGGCAGGGAGGCTCCGTGGGGCTTCTGCTTGTGGTACATGAGTGCTGTTCACGGCCCTGTCTTTGCTGGGGAGGGGGTTTGAAGGTGCTCGCCTCTCTCATCCTGCACCCATCCCATCCTGGCAGGGAGTCCTGATGGACACGAGAGCAGAGCAGAGCGCGTCCTGACCCCTGCCCCGTGTGGCTGGCCCTGTGCCAGCCCCTGTGACTATGGATGAGTGGAAACCCAACCCTGCCATCAAGCCCCACAAGAAGCGGAGCTGGTACCTTGCCTGGAAGTACAAGCTGATGAACCAGCGTGCGCTGCGGAAGCTATGCCAGGTGAGTCACCCACAGGCCTGTGGTGGATTAGGGAGGATAATCTGTAGGGTTTACAAGCTTATGGAGCAGTTGTGTGGGTGGAGGTGGGTCTGCTGGCAGTTCTGTGTGACCTAACGTGCTGAGGAAGCATAACTTGTCCCCCGAAAAGCTACATCCGGTGGCTTTGTGCCCATGTGTGGAAGGGTCTGCCATGTCTAGCAGCTCCTTCCAGCTGCAAGTGGACCTGTTGGGTGGCTATGGCAGGAGAAATGATTATCCAGGCATCCTTGGGAGGCTTTCAGCTAGAAACCTGACTGATTCCTACGCTCCTGGTTCAGGACCTGTGCTGAGCACAGCAGGGCTCAGCCTGCAGTGGGAAACCACCCTTGCCCCATTTGGTTTGTAACTCAAACCTGGTATAAGGCACAACAGGTGGACAGAGAAGATAGGGCTGAGTAATGGGATCTCGTGCCTCAGAGGCAGCTAGTGTCTGGGAAAGCTGCAGGCTTGGTCGCTTGTGCTGTAAAAGGGCTAATCCTTGACAGAGCCAGCATCCTGGGGGGTGTCTGGGGATTTAAGGACAGGAAGAGTTTGGCCCCATGGCAGCAAGCTGCAGAAAAGGGGCCGTTCCTGAAATGAGCAGAGCTCAGTGAAATCTGGCAGTTGCTTTCTGTGGGAGGAAGCAGGGGAGGGGTTTGTGTGTGCCTGGGAGGACGAAGGCTCGGGAGGGCTCCGTGGGGAAGGAGACTGCTCAGTCCTGCATCCCCTGGGGTGCTCGAGGCTTGGGAACAGGCCTGGTCATTCAGGCAGGCATTGCTCATCATTTCGGGGGCAGTGGGCTAGAGCCTGTCTGCTATCATCTCTCTATTTCATGGCACTTCTGTAGCTTAAAACACAGATGAAAATTGAGCTTAAAATATTTAAACTAGAGCTGCAGCTATGGAGTAGCCACGTCTACAGCGGCTGTGCCTCAGTCAGCAGCTCTGACTGAGCCAGCCTTGCTAGACTTGGCTGTTGGTCCTTGTTCACTCTGATCACCTGGGCCATGGGGCTGCTCCCCTGCCTCTTCAGCACTGACCAGGGTGGAAGGTCTGGCAAGCTCATAAGGTGGCCTTGCTGCTGGCCACTAGGCACAGCCTGCTCCTTGCTGTGAGCCCAAGGCTCTGTTCTTCCCTAATTAAAAGCTTTCTGTGCACAGATCTCAAGGGGTGCTCGTACTCCTAAGTCAACAGCAAATCAACAAGCCAAAATGCCATACTGATGTTCATATTAGCACATTTTCTACCTGTCCATCTCTTGTTTTATTGCTGTTTTTTCATCTTCCTCAGTTACTTCTTGAACCCATTTGGCTGCTTGGCAGAGGTAGCAGGAACATGTAGTTTTGAGGTAATAGCTGGCCAGGTAGAGGGGGGGATCCTTTTACTGCTTCTTGATAAGGACAGGCCTGTGGGTGATCTCAACCCGATACCAGACCTCAGAGAATCAAGGGTCCTAGAGCTGAAAAAGGCATAGATTTTTAGGAAGCAAGCTGTAGGGGGGGTTGAGGGGCAAGGGAAGAGTCTCAAAACCACCCGAGACCTATCTCAACATCCCCATGTGGGAGGACCAGGCTATGAGCAGGCTCCACCAACCTCTCCCCTCCTCTCCCTTAGTTGCTGTGACATCTCCACGCTGTCTTGGGATGCTCCAGGAGGTTAGCAGGACCCTGAGCTTGCGTGGTTGGGGGAAACCACCTGGTATGTCCATAGCAGGGTTAGGCCAAAGGGCCACAGCTTTTGGGCTGTGGGATGAATCTGTCAATAGCACTTAGTGATCAGATACCCCTGGATATGCCCTCTGCTTGCGGAGGGAGAGCCAAGAGTAGTGAGGCAGAGGTTAAGTTTACCACAGGAGCTGTAACTCTGAATTACCAAACTCTCCATGCAGAGACCCTCAACCTTGACTCAATATTTTAGCAGGAATCTGCTCACCAGTCTGGAAGCAGGGACACACTGGAAGCAGGTTAATTCTCGTGTATCAAGAGTTCAGTGCTCTCTTGCTAATGAAGCATTTCACCTGTATTTCTTTCTCTTTGCCTTTTCTCAGAAGAAAACAGGGAAAATGACAGATGCCTATGATCCCTTACAAGATCCCCTTGGGGTGCCCTGCAGCCTCTGCCAAGGAGATGGCTTGATCTTGGGGTTGTTACTTACAAGTTGGTAACACAAAGCGTCCTGCATTGCAGACAGGTGCTGTCCTCTTCCTGCTTGTGACTGTAATTGTGAACATCAAGCTGATCTTGGACACCAGGAGAGCTGCTTATGAGGAGGAAGAGGAGTCTGCACAGGACTACGGTGAGGGGCAGCATCTTGCTTTTCTTTGAAAGCAAGGAAATTGGTGGGAGGGAAGTAATTTCTTTAAGTCAGAGCAAACTTGCGGCCAGCCACAGCACAAAAGATAGATCTGTGCATGTGGGTTTAATAAAAGTGAATAGAAAAGGCTGTTCCCATTCCTGGTCTGTCTGCTCAAGGCTTCAGCATGTTTGGCTGCAGAGGTCCATGTGGGGATAGCTGGGAACAGACCTGTTGCCATTTTGGATTTCCCATACCTGCCGTCCTCATAGATTCTGACCCATGGCTTGCTGGGCTGGTATTCCTGGTGGCATGACCTTCTGGAGGCTTGGCTGGGCTAGCACTGAGCAAGGACAAGCCACAGGTGCCTTGGCTGGCTGAGACTGGGGATTTTTTCCCCGGCTCTGGGAAAGAAAAAGCCACAGGTGCCTTGGCTGGCTGAGACTGGGTATTTCTCCCCTGTAGATGATGAGATGCTGAATGTGGAGGTCCCTAGGCACCCTGTCAGCAACAAGAAGGTCTTGGATGTTGAGGTGTACTCCAGCCGGTCAAAGGTCTACGTGGCTGTGGATGGGACAACAGTAAGTGATGGGTGCTGACTGTCCCTATGTGCAGAGGGTGGGTGGAGCTGAATGGGTGAAGCCTCAAGCAGCAGGTGGTGAGAGCATTTCTGTGGCTTGAAAGAAGGTCAGGAGTGGATTCCCCTCCTGCCTACAGGACTGTGGAGGTGTTGTCCCACATTGTCTTCTACTCTCGCATCCATCACTGCCATGAGCAAAGTCAAAATCTCACAGGAGAGAGACTTACCCCTGGTTTGGGGGCTCTGCTGTGCTGAATGGGTAGAGAATAAGAAGTTTTGGTGTATGGTTCTCATCGCTTCTCCACTTGCAGGTCCTGGAAGATGAGGCTCGGGAGCAGGGAAGAGGGATCCACGTCATCGTCTTAAATCAGGCTACGGTAAAGCATCCCCACATGTCTGCACTTGTCTTTCTTACTGGGGAGTGTTTGTCCTTGCTCTTTAACTATTGGGTGCAGTCCCTGAATGCTTGTTTGCCTGTAGCTTCCAGAGCACATATTGGTCACCCAGAGGGTCCCTGCAGTGTTTCTCTTGTGTTTGCCTAGCTGTCCTTGGGGATGTCGTGGTTTTACCCCAGCCGGCAG